ATATATATATATATATATATATATATATATAATAGCAAACTAATAACAATCCTACAATGGAACGCTCGAAGTATAAGGGGGAAAAAAGAAGAAATCAATATCTTAAACATCATTCAAGACCATGATATCTTACTACTCACCGAGACATGGCTTAAACCAGATGAACCATTCTACATCAACAACTACAACATAGTAAGGAAAGACCGACAAGATGGCGCCGGCGGAGGTATTGCCATCGCTATTAAAACCAACTTAACATTCGAAATTATTAACGACTTTTTTGATCTCGAAAACCAAATCGATACTCTAGCCATCAAAATAAAAACGGACCAGGGTCCCATCACAATAGCAACCATCTACGTCTCTCCTCACCAAAGAGTAAAAAAAAATTCCTGGGAAAAACTACTAGATCGACCAAACAATAGCTCACTTCTTCTATAGCGGGCGACTTTAACACCCACCACACTTCCTGGGGAAGCTACAAAAACTCGGCTTAAGGCAAAGAACTCCTAGAAACTATTACCGAGGCAGACCTTTGCATTCTGAATGACGGATCCCCCACAAGAGTAACAAACCCTACTACAAACAAATCTGCAGTAGACCTCACCATTGTTTCACCTGAATTACTAAGCTACACTAACTGGAACGTCTCTGAAGACCCCGGAAGAAGCGATCATTACCCAATTCACATCTCTCTGGGCATGGCCCCAGACACATACCAATTTTTTACCCATAAACTAAACCTCTCTAAAATATGTTAGGAAACGTTTGGTGATGTCCTCACCCAGAAAGTTGAAGCCATCATCACTGAAGACAATCTGAATGTCCCACCGACCTACGAAGAAATAATTACATCATCAAAGACTCCCTCTCTGCGGCGACGAAAACAAGAGACTCTAGGAAGGAAAGTGCCAGTGCCAATCAACACACGCCATCTCCAAAAAATAATCCCAAGACTAGAAAAATTCGTACTCCTGCCCCGTGGTGGAACGAAGAATGCTCCAAAGCCCTGGAAGAAAGAAAGTCAGCTCTCCAACTCATTGTTTAACAGCTAGAAAAGAGATCTAGTCAAATACTTATAAGAAGAATTACGCCTTCGGGCTTAATCGTTAAAACTCGGGAATAATCGTATAAACTCGGGAATAATCGTATCACGCTATGGCCGTCGCTCATGCGCGCCTTGGTTAGCGGTAGAGAAGCCGGCTCGCGTGGTCTGATGCAAAAGTTATGCTTGGACTTCTGTACTAGTACGACTACTCTGTGCTAATCAATTTGATAATTCTTACTTACATCTCATATTCATTCAAATATTTAAATCATTCATTAAATCTAAATAATTATAGTAGATTCAATTATACTCTAAATTCTCAATTCATTTAAATCAGTTTAATAGTTCAGTGAATTAACATAAATAAAATACAACAAGTAAATTGGTTTAGTGACGCCACGCGGCCATTACACGCCACCGTTAACAAAGGATTGCATCAGCCACGCAGCTTTAGTCAATCCATAATTGACGCGTAATATTAACCATTAATTAAATTGAATTAATTATTAACATTTAATAACGATCTTATTTAATTTAACTTATAAATAATTAAATTCAAATTTCAAATCATCTGACTAATTTCTACACGATAAACATCAAACTCAATTGACTAACATTCTGTTATCAATCGAATATTATTAGCTCTCACCTAGAGACAATGGAACATTAATAGCTCTCACTCTGAGACAGTTCAAATTAATTAGATATTACCAGCTCCCACCTTGGGACTTATCTAATTCAAATTATCGATAATTTTCTATCTAAGGCGGCTGAGCTCACCCCTATTGCGTTATTGCAACGTAATTTACACACACACACTTACACACATACAACTTACTTGTATAATTTTCATCAAGGAGGTTTTTTCCCAGCCTAGCTGGGTTTTCCTCCTTTGGGGACAAATAAATTCTTCTAAATTGTTCCCCAAAAATTCCAAGTATTATTATTTAATTTCCTAATCCCAACTTTATCATATAATTTAAAACAATTACGGGAATTATCCGCATTGGATAGTTTTCGACAAAACACTCATGAAGCGTACATTAACGGTAAAGAGCTATGAAAACTACAATAAAATAAACGCGTTAACGAAGAAAACATTCCAGAAAGCCAAACAAAAAGCTTGGCGGGAATATACTGCGTCTCTCAACAGCACTATCCCCATAGCCATGCGGTCTGGAAAAAATTTAAAGCCTTCAAAAATAGAAGATTATCCAATCCGTACACACTCCCGAGACAAGAGCTCAACAAAAGCTCAGTTGAACAAAAAAAGCTTGAATTCATTGAAAGCTACTGCCAGGAAAGCCGAATAAACTCAGACAGCTCAACAGCACAGGAGCTATTCCACCAAGACACCGCCGAAGCTCCCCAACCATCAGCACCCAATTTTCCAGACTACGAAATTTCTTTAACAGAACTAAACTCCGCCATACGGCGAAGTAAATCAGGAACAAGCCCAGGACTTGACCAAATCACCTATGACATAATCAAACGTCTCCCTGAAGCTCTGAGAAAACTAATCATGGACTGTTACAACAACTTTCTCCGACTCAAAAAATATCCCACTTTCTGGACAGAGCACTTAGTCTATCTACTCCCCAAAGGAGACACAAACAAATTTAGGCCCATCACCCTGGCACCCTGTTTTCTTAAAATAATGGAAAGAATTTTGGTAGACAGAACCACGTGGTGGCTGGAGCACAATTCCAAGCTCCCCAACACCCAATATGGATTTAGAGCAGACAAAAGTACTGCAGATAATTTATCAGTAGTCACTGGAGAAATTTACACCGGGTTCGCCCAAGGTGAGTATACTATAACGGCATTTCTTGACATCAGAGGGGCCTTCGATCATGTCAATCCGGACAAGTTGCTACAAATTATGCTAGACCTCGATATTCCCACTTCCTACTGCTCCTTCTTCTACTTTCTAATCAAGAAGCGCAAACTATACTTTGTGACCAACAGCAGCCTAACAGAACCGCAGGATTCCTAACATTTGAGCCTATGAGAATTTTTTTGTTAAAAAAAAAAAAAAAATTACAGATTCAATTGGCGCTTTATAACATTGCACGAAAATCGGCTCCTCACTGTTCTGCATCTTTACAAAGATAATGCAAGGGTAAGTGGAATTCGAGTCAACTATTTTGTACACCACTAGAATAGTGTACCGTCTTTCTTCTCCGACGACGAGCATTTGCGCTTTCGTAACTTCCGCAACTTGAAGGGTAGCAGTAACTTTGCTCCCATCTTTGTTTACGAAGATATTCCAGGCATCATGAGTAAATTTTATCACTTCCGATGCATCGTTTTGCGGCTTAACTTCGTAAAATCTCACGCTCTCGGAATCCGTGAAACGGACGAAGATTGCTCCGAAGAATAACACTGATAATATTAATCCGTTCATTTTTATTTTCAATATGTGACTACGTGTTCAAATCGAATTACTAATGGCTTTTATGTGACTCATTATTATCCACTGACGCATTTTCGAAGATAAAGCATTTTATCAAGTCATCAAATGGTTCAATAAATTTTTATTTTTCATCGGATAATCAATTAAGCACTGTAGTATTAGCCTTGATTGGATAAACGAATTTGAAACGAACAAAAATTTTAATCCTCCATAAGTGAAAGAATTTAAATCTACTGAAATAATTCAGAAATATTGAAAAGAATTCAAGTTTTGATATTTCTAATACTTTTTCATTTGTTTTTTAAATCAGGAAGCGGCATGATAAAGTAAAGTTTAACTAAATTGAAAATATTTCGGCTTTGTTTAAAACAATTAAATTAAACGAATTTACAAAAATTGCTTGACCTTGATGCAGCTTCATTGAAAAACAAAAACCCTATATTTTGATAATTTTATGTGCGTTCTTTTATTTAACTCATCAGAAATATTAAATTTAAACGATGTTAAATTCAAACGATTTATGTTGGAAAATATCGATAAAAAATAACTAATAAATTAATAAAAATAAAATAACTGATGAATTCTACGTGTTTTCTTAGGTTTTCAGTTGACAATACAAATAAAAATGAGTTGTTTTATTGAAAATAATCTAAAAAAAGTTTGGAAAATCCAAAAGTGCACGCCTCATAATCTCATTTTTCCACAATAAAATTGATTAAAATAAAATATAAAAAGCAAAATAATAAAAAACAGAAAACTCTGCTATGGTTTAGTGGTGCCATAACTTTAAGGTTAGGAAAAAAAATACTATAATAAAATGTATAGATAGATATTAGGGTGTCCGTTATTTCCCAAATTGATTTTTTTTTAGCAATCGCCCCCTGAATCTTTAGTTTATGACCTAAAAAAAAATATCCAACACAAATGGGCTCTTAATTTTCACATTAACCCGTGCCGGAATCATGTTATATTTCCCATTTAAATAACATGAGATTTTTAGACTTTTTACTTTTAATTTTTTTTCTCAGAAACAAATGGGAGTAAAAATTTGATTGATGTATATTCTGGTAGGAAATTGAACGCTCTACAAAAAAGTTCTCTTATGAATTTTCGATAAAACAACTCCTTCAAAAGTTATTCAACGTTAAACTTGGGTTTATTGTCAATTCTATTATATTTTTAATTTTATTTTCATTTTTACCTCTTTTGGCTATAAAATCGTTGAAATGAAAGATTATTATTATTATCAATAGAGTGATTATTACCAATGATCATTTATGTCGATATCATGGCCTAAACAGAAAATCAAGGGGAAAAAAACTTTTTTATGAGAAATAAAAGAAATAACATACCTTTTCGCATACAGACATACTTTAAAATAAATTGATGGAAAATGGTGAAATAAAAATGTAAAAATTTCTTTGTCTATAATATTATATATATTAATATATAATATTATAGACAAATATAGTAGTATATATACTTAATAATAATATTAATATATAATATTATAAGCAGATTTATTATTATTTTTCTTTCTTTATAATTTTTTTGTTAAGCAAGCTTTGGTCGCATTAGGATATTTTTTCTTGTACTCACTTACAACTTGTATCAAATATTGTTTTTGATCTTCTTGTGTTGTTAAAATATTAATATACTCTTGAGTTAATTTAATTGCTCTTTCGGCGACATCATTAACTACTTGTAAATTTTTAACAATTCGTAAGCCTTCTAAATAGTCGTTATTGTCTGCCCACGTTTCAACATCTAGTTTCACAAAATTTTTATCAATGTTAAATCTTTCAAAAAATTGTAAGGAATCCGAATTTATAAAAAAATCAATATCTTTTTTTTTGCAAATTCACAATTTTACTAATCGTATGAATTCCATAGCGTTTGGAGGAATCAAAATCCTGATTTTCATTATTTTCTAAAGCCTTGATCATTTTCCGTTTGATGGAAAAAGATATGTTTTCATCAAAAAATGAAAGAGCAGCTGTTTCACCATTTAAATACCATAGATGGTTTGTTTTTAAATTTATTTAAGACAGCTTCGGATATTTGTTTGTCGATTGTTTTATATTGATACACCGCTTTCAAAAATCTCAAATCTTGATTCGGAGCCAACGCCGCAAGAGGTGCTTCGAACCAAAACGGCACATAAATGAATAGAATAAATAAGCACATATCCAAGAGATTTTTTTTCGTCTCATCATCTATGTCCAAAATATCTCGAAAAATATATATTTTGAGCGAATAAATCGCTTTAGACATCCAGCGGGCGTGGTGAAACGCTCCTGGCTTGTGGAAGTAAACTTTTTTGGTATCTATAGTACCAAGAAATATTTGACATAACTCTTAGAGTTCTTTATAGTCATCACGAGGCAAAGTCGTACTCAGAAAATTTTCAATTTTGTTATTTGTTTCTTCAACCTTGCCTATTAGTTTTCGAGGAATTTTATTGCCTACTAATCCATTTTTATACTTAGTTTGATCAACTGTACTCCAAGTTTCTTTAAAGCTCTTGAATAATTTAACATTTGGTCCCTCTGTGCCTGGTATTTTAGTCGTAAAAACACAAACTAATACTAACTCGTAGATGTGGTGCCTAGATGTTAAGTATAAAAGCTCGGTTTGTGATATTTGTTCTAGGTGTATGGCCGCTTCATTCCGACAACCAAGATTTGAAGCCGTAGTGTCACAACAGATCGCTTTAACGTTCTCAGTAATTCCCCAATGTTGAAGTTCTGTAAAAATTGCTTCTGCCTGAGTCAATCCTTTACCATCTGGCAATGCTGGCATGTCTAAAATTTTTTCAATGTTGTAACTTCTCATTATTATCGGAACTCGATCAAATTTTTTACAGGATAAATCATCGGGTATCAATTTTCCATCCCAATGGACAACCACCGCACCAACATCAATGTCACCGAATAACATTTTCGTTTTTTCAGCAGCCTCCTTTCGGATTTTTGATCTATATTCATTAAACGAAGTCTTATTAAGGATTAAATCATTGGTATCAACTCCAAGAGCTGACGCTATTGATGAAATCACTTGTACAGAATTCCTATAAGAAATTCTGCAACTATCTAATGTCGCAACAAGATCTTCAGTGAGAATATTTATTGTTCCTCTTTCATTTTTTGGTTCATAATTTCGCCCTTGTAATTCAAATGTTGACGATGTGCTTTGCCAAGACGTAGATGTTGTTCCAAAATTTGCTCGAAATTTGCTCGCTTATACTTTTTGAGCTTGGTGGTAACGTCAGATCTAACAAACAAATCAAAAAAAGTTATAACTATGTAACCCTTATCAAGTGGATAAACCTTTTATGAATACTTTGATAAATTACTTGACTTTGAGCGATTATCTGTGATTGTTGAATCAAGATCGTCACTAATTTTATCCTCATTCATAGATTGGGCCACTGAGATATCCTCGTCTTCTTTAAAAATTGGGTTTTCTAGAATTGATGATACGATTAATTAACAAAGAAATATTTTATTTAGCAATTACAATATCTTTCCCAGGTTCTAATAATTTTTATTTAACTACAACTTATAATTTAATTGCAACTTACCAACCGACTCGATGGAATCATTGTCTGATTTGAGAATGCGTAAGTGATATTTTCTCACTGTCCTTTGATCATTTAAAAATTTCAAGACGTCACTGTCGACTTTATTTTGAACATCACCATGTGCAATATCGAATAATTTGTTTAAATATTCGGAAAATTCCTGCTCAAATTCCGCATTTGAATTTTTTTGTGCATCTCTGTAATTGTTGTAAAGTTTTGCCAATTTTGCTGTTCATCTTGAACTATATTGCACTGGAATTCCAGCTCTACTCCAAAATTTTGACACTTCATTAATAACTAATTGTAAACTTTCTGCAAGTGTTTTTTTTGTTTCTCTGGTATAATGAAATAATAATTTCAGCACTTGTTTATTTGTCGGCAGTTTATGACCACTACTTGAGTCACTTGTTTCACCCAAAAAAACCATAGGATTTCGTAAATTTATAGATGTATTCATTGTGACAGGAATGACAATTACAAGTTTCTCGAAGTAAATTGTTTGTGCACACTAAGAGGTTAGACTTCCATCATCAATAAAGAAAACAATTCTTCAACTATATTCTATAACTTTTTTCACGTACATTCGTTAGTAGATTGAATAAATATATGTTTTTATTCGGTTTAATCTTTACTTATTATAATTTGTAAGCAACAAACAAAAAACACTACACAAGTTTATTTACTTTGTTTTGTTTTTCTGCTTACGAATCAGTCGATAAATAAATTCAATGAAAATAGTTTTAACCTCAAGTTCTAATAAACCTCTTATAGATGGCATTAGGCGGAATAGTAAAAAATTGAATTTGAATGGCAACTATGTATACATTCTCTAATTGATAAGGATTGAATTCAGTAAGTAAACACAGTAAGTAATACCGATTTAAATACTTTAATTTATACTACATAAACTTAATTACATGTTCATAGCAAATCCAAAGTTTTGTTATCGCTTATATTTCTCAAAAATTATTTTTTTCTTTTGGTTTTCTGTTTAGACCATTATATCGACATAAATGGTCATTGGTACTCTATTGATAATAATAATAATCGTTTATTTCAACGATTTTATAGCCAAAAAAGGTAAAAATGAAAATAAAATTAAAAATATCATAGAATTGACAATAAACCCAAGTTTAACGTTGAATAACTTTTGAAGGAGTTGTTTTATCGAAAATTCATAAGAAAACTTTTTTGTAGAGCGTTCAATTTCCTACCAGAATATGCATCGATCAAATTTTTACTCTCATTTGTTTCTGAGAAAAAAAATTAAAAGTAAAAAGTCTAAAAATCTCATGTTATTTAAATGGGAAATATAACATGATTCCGGCACGGGTTAATGTAAAAATTAAGAGCCCATTTGTGTTGGATATTTTTTTTTAGGTCATAAACTAAAGATTCAGGGGGCGATTGCTAAAAAAAAATCGATTTGGGAAATAACGGACACTCTAGTATATATACATATATTCAGGATATAATAAGAAGAATTAGTTTTATTGATGATATATGCCAATATTGTCTACATTTTTGTAGTTTTCAAGTTACAGTGTAATAGATATACTTAACACATCATTCCAATTACATGTTCCAATAGAAGTAATTGTACATTTCCATCATTCCCTCGTCGTACTTATTCGGGTTTTCCTGAAAAATTCAAACATTAACTTTTAAATCCATGATAGCTTATTTGTAGAGTAAAATAAAAAAAAAAAACCTTACAAAATCAATAGGCGCTTTGTAACATTGTACGAAAATCGGCTCGTTATTCTTCGTTCTCACAAATACGATGCAGTAGTACCTGGATATCGATTCGTTAATTCTGTAAATGACAAGCATAGTGTATCGTCTTTCTTCTCCAACAACTAGAACTCGTACTTTTAGGACTGTCGCCAATTTTAAGCTAGCAGTAATGTTGTTACTTCTGTTTCTGAAGATTTCCCAGGCGTCGTGAGAAAATTTTACCACTTCGGGTGCATCGTTTTTCGGAGTAGCTTCGTAAGATCTCGCGACCTTAGGATCCGCAAAACAGATCAAGTTAGCAATCAAGAAAAACACTGATGATTTCAATCCATTCATATTTCAATTCAAAATGTAACTATGCAGTCGGATAATAAGACAAAGGCTTTTAGGTGTCTAATTATTTTTAAAGTGTATATAATATTATTGGTTATCCGGTAATTAAATAGTGTTATCAGTTAAATGATAGAAGCAAGGTCATTTAAACTAAAAATTTTTCGATTCTTGTCAGAAAATCTAAAGAAACATAAAAGTAATTATAGAGTCTGTTTAGTATATTTTGTAGTCGAGACTATTTATTTAATTATTTATTTCATATACATTCTGCGATAGATATGTGATAGATCTCCAGTTAATCTGCAATTGACAAACTTGTAATAGACCTCTCATAAGTGAGTCAGAGACTAATCAATTTCAATTCGGTGAGTCATATTATCTGTTAGACGGGGCTGCAAATTAAATGTGACATAAACTTTAGATCTGAGAAAGTTTTTTCTTACCATTTTAAAAACTCAACTTACCTTCTTTATCTTAAGCTAGCATAAAATATCGCGGTCCAGAGAGTTATGCTACGGTCAAAGAAGAAAAAATTCAAACGGTCTTCAATGAGTTGAAGAAAATTTCTCACTGGATCTCTATAACTGACCCATTTTAAAACACATTTGAAACAGGCGTGAGGACGAGCGCTTGCGAGAGGCGATGTTGTTAGTGCCATCTCGCAGCTTGGAGCCGAACCCTATAATACTCCCCTTCTTCGCGAAACAACGCAGTTGTTGAAGACTCGTCCGTGAGGCCGTTCCACCTCTTACCGCGTGGGAGCTACCGCTTCGACCGCTTGTCGCGTTTTTGTTGTAAGGAGAGGAACGGAGCCAGGGACGAAGGCGACTGAGTCCGTGATTTCGAAGCTTGCGCGGACGGGCTCTCCAGACGGTGGCTTGTGCCAACGGCTACCCCCCAGATAGGTATCACCTGGTGCCACTGTGTCGACGCTGTGCTGGATGGACTGCAGGTTGCTCGGCTAATTGCCGACAGTCGCTGAAGAGAGTTTGGAAGAAGGGGGAAAGGTAGAAAAGGTATTTGATTGGGTAAGGCGTTTCGTGTAGAAAGTGATACACACTAATCAGCTAGGCCATTCGTGTCACTGCCTCGGCCCAGGACGTCTGTGGAGTACACTGAAAAAAAAGTTTTTTTATACCCGGAATAGTGAATATTTTTTAGTCGAGTTTTCTTGTACGAAGTAAAAGTCAAGTTAAATATTTTAGATTTAAGAAAACTGGTATTTTAAATCTGAGAATACCAAGTTTTTTAACAGGACTAAAACTAAATTCTATGTTACCATAGCAACCGTGACGGTGGCGCCACTATTTTGTCATTACCCTCCAATCTACAGTGTACGCGTGTTTTTTAGTTATTAGTTTACCTCGTGCCTGAGTCTAGTTACCTAAATATTTATTTGTGTGAATTGTATAATTGCACGCTAAAATAATATAAAATGAATATCAAATATTCAACAGAAAAATTTTCTCAAGGTGAGAAAATTTTTTTCTCAGCTGAAGTAGATGGCGATGCTTCCCTAAAGTATCTAAAAATCTTGATCAAATATAAAAATTTATTGTTATTGTTATTAGTAAATTAGTAAAATAATGCTATTAGCAGGAAATTGCAATTTTTTGACAACAATGAGAATTAAAAATAAGAAAAGAAAGGCTTAATATACTATTTTTCATTTTTATTAATTTTAGTGTGATAGATTGTTTATAAATGAAGAATTATAAAAAGTATAGTTTCTCATAATTATCTATCCTAAAGATTCGTGTCGACCAAGCGAGGTTAAGTCGGCCATATTGATTGTAGTATTTTAATAATGAGAATACCAAGTTTTTTTATATCCAGTAAACTTATTCCTATGGATAGTAAACTTTGGTATTCTTATTTTAGGAATACTTTTTTTTAACCACAGGGAAAAGTTTTCTAGGAGGAAAAAAACTTTTTTTTCAGTGTACAGAAAAAACTATGTTCTTGAATCAAGTATATATTGTTGAAGAGCTCAATATTCTTGGTTTGAGTAGAAAAATTCTTGATTTAAGAAAATTTTTCTTGATTTAAGGAAATTTTACTTAATTCAAGAATTTTTCGTTTTGATTCTAGACAATTACCCTCTTCAAAATTATATTCTTGGTTCAAGAATTTTTCTCTTAAATCAAGTTAATTTTTTTTCTGTATAGTTACAGTGTTTTCAAGATTTTATACATGACGAACAGAAAAAATTTTTTCAACTATTTTTATCTTCACAATAGTATGCAACATATTTTGATTCCTTGAACTAACAAGACTATAATGTAAAGCACTCTCTGATGCTTTCCATCATGAGTCGTGCAAAATTGATTTTTCTGTACAATTCTGCTAATGAATTTTTGAAATAAGCAATAGAATAACCACAAGTACAAGCAACTTTGTTACAAAAATCTGACCGAGTTCTAATTATTGAAAAATTTTATTCAACTAATAACAAAAACAGTTCATGAAATTCAAAGATTCCGAAAAAATAAAAAAAAATTACAAATTAATTATGAAATATAATGATCATAAAAATTATTATTGTATTAAGAATTCAGTGCATACTCCAGTAAGACCACCAATCTTTTTCATAACCTTCGTAGACATGATCAACCAGCACTTTTCTTCTGTTTTCGCAGTAATTAGATTTGTTCATAACTTTCTGCTTTATTTCACTAAGATCTTCATTTTTAAGGTCCTGCTCCAAAAACTGAGACAGAGATTCAGTAGCTTGTTCTAGATCCTCCTGATTATCTTCAAAGATGTTAAACTGGTTGTTTTTGACAATATAATATGCAAACGCGTAAGTATACATGAGAATTGTTCTGCATCGACAGAGAGTATCAACAGCATTCCTTAAAAACAAGACCTCGGCCCAAGTCAAATTAGTTATTCTCTGCATTTCAAACATTTTTTCCTTGACAGAATCATACAAATTGCTTTCAAACTTAAGGGAGTTTGCATGATTCATGAACCGGTCAGAATAATGAAAATATTTACGTAACGCCGATTTTTTTTCTTTTTTAGAACCCTCACGATTTTCGTCGTCTTTATTTTTGAAACGATTGCACTGACAATGATGGTCAGTAGTCTTATTTAAGCACATCCAACAGAAATTAAACGCACATTTTGAGCAATGTATCAAATTGCATCCGCCATTTTTCTCAATAGGCGTCGCGCAGTTAGGGCAATCTTTAGTGTTCAGTCCAATCCATGCAGATGTTGCTGAATCTTCCTCAAATTTGATCATCCATTTCTTCAGTAATTCACAATTTATCGGTTCGTGCCACTTGCTAGTACACTTGTAACAAAACGTATACCCGCAACTACATTTTACCAATTTAAAATCAGAGTATTGAACTTTTATCGCGTTAGTACACCCTGGACTCGGGCACCATTTTAGCAATCTATTAAATTGGACGAAACTATTAGTAATCAGATACTCGTACTTAACTTTAACATCAGATTTTTTAATCAATCGCATTACAGTTTCATCATCAACAAGTATATCGCATTTATGAGCCGGACATCTAATTTTTTGGCACTCACCTTCTTCCAATATTTTAGTCGTCAAGTACTCATTCCAGCAGTCTTCGCAGAATCGATGCCCACATTCAAGTCCAGTCATCATATTTCGTGCCAATGGCATGAAGCAAATGGCGCAGTCTTCTTCTATATCGGCAGCTGCTAACTCTCCGACCGTTTCGGGTAACGAAGATTGTCTCGCTGGGTCAACCACCTGCGTATCCTTGAACAGCTGACTGCGGTCTTCACTGTAAAACTTGTCCAACAATTTTTCCCGATCCCATTTGAAGTGTTGGAGCAAAATTCGCGTGGTTGTTGCCGGTATTTCTATTATTGCACCTATTGACTTTATTGATTCGAGCATGTCTTTCACTATTTTATCAGTACTCAATGCTTCGTAAGGATAATTGTTGTCACTGTCCTTGTCCGGGCCTGTTTCTATTTTTTCCATCTCAACCAGGTCACCATCCTCGTCCTCGTACTCCAAACAAACATCAAAGTCTTCACAATAATCGTCGTCACTTTCCATGGTGATTTATAAAAACAAATTCAACTTGCTGGTAATGAATTAAACCGAAATAAAAATTTACTACACTTTTAATATTTTAGTACCACTGATTGTAATTTTAATTTTTAATGTTTAGTAAATTATTTTTAATAAACGTGTTATTAAATTCAAATATTTGAAATAAAAATTCACCTTATAGATTTTAGGTTATCGATATACTGTGAATATAACTATATACACTGCTTGTTGTTTATACATGTTGTGTATATACACGTTGTGTATATACAAGTTGTGTATATACGTTACGAAAATTAACTCGTATCGGTATCTCCGGCTTCTATGATGCCACCAGTAGCTACTTACCTTTCATCTCAGTGTCGCTACTCATGTAATTTGTGGTACCGACTTCGCAGCGCGCATTGCGCATTCTAGTGAAAGATTGTTGATATTACATTTGGTTCATAAATAAATAATTATTATAGTTCATGAAGGCTATTTTGATTTGGTGTAATTTGAAAAGCTAATTGTTTTATTCTATGAATCTAAATTGATTGGAAGAATTTTATGAAGACATTATGGCATCAATAAAGCAATTCGATCGATGTTGTAATCCATTTAAGTTGGAATCACATTTAAGAAAAATGGGTTTACGTCCAGCAACTGACATTATGAAAGTAACGTTAGGATTAGATAGAAATTATTTGTTATGTAGTTCGTGTCGAAAAGAAGCTTCAAAATTAGTAAAGAAACAAACAAATACTATTGATGATCCTAATGTTGATGCAAGTGACCATGAAGATGATTCTAGTGACAACAATGAGAACAATGATGGTGCTGACAGTGATAGTAACACAACTGCCACGGATCTCCCGTTATCCTTATCATTCCGTACGTTTTTTTAAATTATTCATACATTACTTAAATACATTCCGAGCAACTACACGTTTCATTGTTTTTTTAAGGTTCCTTGTCGTTTAATAGCGAACCCAGAAATTCACAATCAAGCTCGGCATCCCAAGTTAGCGCTGCAACTCAATTACCCGTTATAAACGACGCACTGCGACTGTTGAATCAATCGCCGATTCCTACAAAAAAAATTGAATGATTATCAATTTTTAAATAATAAAATAAATCAGATATCTGACAGCTTAAAAAAAAATTTTGCTCTCAGCTACCGATGAAGGATCGATCGACGACAATGGTGAAAATTTTCGCTCCTTAATTAAAATGCTACATGATAAATTCAATGATAAAAAACGGATAAATCTTTAAAAATACAAATTTTAACATTGTTACCTGAAAAATGGAATGAAAGACGTATTTGTGAAACTATGAACACATCACGACATTTAACAAGGGCAGCAAAAAAGTTGGTTGAAGAAAAGGGTCTACTTTCAACACCTGAATCGAAATTAGGTAGGTATAGCGTAGAATTGATGTTTCTGGTACATCGATGGAACGTACATACACTGATGGTGTGTGTTCCACTTGCTCTTGCTAACACACAATGTTTCGGTCGTAAAGAAGCGAATTTCGAAAATCCAATTTTCTCTGTTGGGTTTATTTCACGGAAACATTGGTATAGTTCTTTTAAGTTAGACAGAACAAGTCGTTTTTGGGCGTGTACTCGATTACCATGATTATTTCGAACTGAATCAAAGTCTTTCATACCGGGCATCAAAGCACTATACTCATCATCGTTGTAAAAATTCTCAATTTTTAATAACATTTGATGAGTAATTGTCCTCCCTATACAAAAAATGTTAAGTAATTCAGTCTTCAGATGTACCAGAAACATCAATTCTACGCTATACCTACCTAATTTCGATTCAGGTGTTGAAAGTAGACCCTTTTCTTCAACCAACTTTTTTGCTGCCCTTGTTAAATGTCGTGATGTGTTCATAGTTTCACAAATACGTCTTTCATTCCATTTTTCAGGTAACAATGTTAAAATTTGTATTTTTAAAGATTTATCCGTTTTTTATCATTGAATTTATCATGTAGCATTTTAATTAAGGAGCGAAAATTTTCACCATTGTCGTCGATCGATCCTTCATCGGTAGCTGAGAGCAAAATTTTTTTTTAAGCTGTCAGATATCTGATTTATTTTATTATTTAAAAATTGATAATCATTCAATTTTTTTGTAGGAATCGGCGATTGATTCAACAGTCGCAGTGCGTCGTTTATAACGGGTAATTGAGTTGCAGCGCTAACTTGGGATGCCGAGCTTGATTGTGAATTTCTGGGTTCGCTATTAAACGACAAGGAACCTTAAAAAAACAATGAAACGTGTAGTTGCTCGGAATGTATTTAAGTAATGTATGAATAATTTAAAAAAACTTACGGAATGATAAGGATAATGGGAGATCCGTGGCAGTTGTGTTACTATCACTGTCAGTACCATCATTGTTCTCATTGTTGTCACTAAAATCATCTTCATGGTCACTTGCATCAACATTAGGATCATCAATAGTATTTGTTTGTTTCTTTACTAATTTTGAAGCTTCTTTTCGACACGAACTACATAACAAATAATTTCTATCTAATCCTAACGTTACTTTCATAATGTCAGTTGCTGGACGTAAACCCATTTTTCTTAAATGTGATTCCAACTTAAATGGATTACAACATCGATCGAATTGCTTTATTGATGCCATAATGTCTTCATAAAATTCTTCCAATCAATTTAGATTCATAGAATAAAACAATTAGCTTTTCAAATTACACCAAATCAAAATAGCCTTCATGAACTATAATAATTATTTATTTATGAACCAAATGTAATATCAACAATCTTTCACTAGACACTTGATCGCACAAAAGATTAACAGCAATTTACAGGTTATATTTTAGACAGTATGAAAAAACCGTATTTATAAATCGATACACACTAGCGTATAGTTTCTAGTATACTGACTGTAGGTAAGTCTACAATTGTCCTACCCTAGTTTATCGACCTTACTGATAAGTTAAAATTTGAATCTCGGTGATTATATTCGTAAATTAAATCTATAAATTGAGAATTGTATCACAAACTCGTTGAATTATTTTTATTTTATGATAGAAATAAATTTTTTGAATGAGCTTCTAATCCGAATAACTTACCAAATATCATAGTTAAGTTTTCTCCAGAAGAAGATTATAATACAGCATTAACTGATTTAAATAACAGATTTTTGAAAACGAAACCAATTGTAGGAACTCAACAGCTACATTGTATAATTCCGGACAAAAATGGTTGTTTGTATGTTAAAAAATTTTCGAACTCTAATGAATACAGAATTTGTAAAATATTAAAACGCGAAAGAGAAATTTAATAAATGATTTTTCGTATTGTTTTTGTGAAATCATTAACATATTTATTCACAACTACACAGAGTAATTTTTATGTTTATAATTACCGTAATTTTTTGTACCACAATAATTATTATCTTACATGTTATTGACTAAAATTTTATCATAGTTATACTGTCATAATGACAGCTGATAATATTTGCCATTACCATAGTCATAGTTACCATCTTGTGTATTTAAAAGTTCTGATTCTACTTTAAATTGTTTTTGTTTAATATTTTAATTTTTTTCATCCTAAACTCTTATACTGAAAATTTTTTATGATTAGTTTGCTTCTTAAGTTACTCAAAAGTTTGAAATGACATTTCACGAAGGTTATTGTTACCCTCAAAATTCAGTTTTGATTGATTAATTATTCACAAAAGGCAGCGTTCATAAAGTTCCAACTCCAGTGTTTAAAAGTACCTCTAGGAAGCTGACCAAATTAAAATTACAGTTATTGAACGACTTTGAGATGAAAGAAATTGAAATATTTCGAATTATGATTAAAATTAGGATTATAGTTTTAAATATACGAGATGGTAATTATTATCGTGATAATATAGTAGCTACAACTGTCGTGATGGTAAGTATGACTTTTGTAATCGTAAGCTCGTCAACTGTAATTAAAACAGTTATCACAATAAAATAGTAGTAAATTACATTGCAACATAATAACTATTATAAAAAGACGATAATAATTATTAACATAAAACTTTCTTCATGTATTAGCGATATCAACATTGAGTAATACTTTTATTCAGATACTTTTACATTTAAATTCAATTCTATTTCGATACATTTTCATTTCATTTTAATTGTTTTCAACTTCGAAGCTGGATTTTAATTCAGGTTCATATCAACCCAGCCAACTATATTTAGCTTCAAATTTATTCTGTTACAACTGTTATATCGGTTACATCACTTACATCTCTATTCAGCTACACCCTCACTCAGGTACATGTCTATAAATTGAGAACTGCATTCAAGTTGAACTCTATTCTCGTAGCACATGGCTTATCACTAAAAAAGAAAATACCACTTTGTTCATGTGTGAGTACAGTTGAATCTTAATCGAGTTATCAATAGATAGACATATACCTGATTGAAAATGTAACTGAATAGACCTATATAACTGATGTAAAATGTAATTAAATAAAGTTAAAGCTGAGTACAGTTTAACCCTTCGTATCGGTTGTGTTTTTTTTTGTCTCACTTGCACTATAGCGCCGCCCTATAAGTTGAATGTTGTTGCGTGAGAGAAATTCACATAGCAACCGGCTCGAAGGGTTAAGTTGAGTAGAGATGTAATAGAATAGAATAAATTTGAACTAAAATGTCAATATATCTAATTAGAAATATTACTGAATATATGTTACTATTAGCTATGAATAGACCTCTAACACGGCTAATTGAGGCCAGTAAAAGCATTAGAATCATGGTTGAACATTGTCAAATATGGTAAAATTGAATAATATGATTATTTAAGATAGAATAATATACACGCAAAAAAAAAAATTGGGGCTGCCACATGATACATTCCTGTGGCAGCCACATGATTTTTTCATGTGGCTGCCACATGATTTTCATGTGACAGCCACATGATTTT